CCAATTCTTCACTTTCAGTCCTTCACTACAGTTATGATTTAAGTATGTCTCTCACAAACGTTATAAAACTGAATTTTTTCCTTTAATTTTGAATTATCTTTAATAGGTAGGTTTAATTCATTCACATTATTATCCTTGATATATGATAATGGTAATATATACCATCTTGTTTTCAATTTTAACTACACTTGTTTTTTGCTACTTTCCTGCTCTTAAAAATCTTATTCTGAATTTATATATTCAACCTTTATGTAGTCAGTCTTGACATTTTAACTGGAACACTTGAATCAGTAAAGTCTAATGCAAATAGCATTGCTGTTCTTTTCCTGAATATACAAAAATTAGAACATTATAACTTCCCATATTCTGTGTTAATGTTGTCTATACTTTAGTTTCATCTTATTTTCAACTGTCCCTTAATTGGTCCCTCTTTTTTTTTAAAGAATCAATTTTTACATTTTTCATAATTTATTGAGAGTTTGTGAGTAGTAAGCCCTCCCTATTTTGCCTGGAAAACTTTTAATTTTGCTTTCTTGAATAATATAGTTGAGACTTTTCTCATTCTATTTTCCATGTGTTATAACCTATCTTTTATATAATCACTCACTTTATCTTTCCTCCCTGTATTCAGAAAAGTTTCATGAGATCTACATTCCAGTTTACTAATTTTAGGTTCAGAGTTATATAAAGCTGTCTCTTACGTGATCTGATTTTTAGACTTCCATTGAATTTTAACTTTCAGTGGATCACATTCCATTTGATTTTTCCCTAAATCTGTCTGCCCTTTTCACCATATTCTATTTTTTCATTTGTGCTTATGAAAGGTTTATCTTTTTATTTATTTTATAGCCTAATTCAGATTACTCTAGCAGCCCATGTTATTAGAGTACTAACTCACCTATTTATTATGTTGCCAACTCTCCCTTGCAGCAGACTATTCCCTCTGGGTGACATAAAACTTTGTATTTGAAGTTCATTTTCAGGAGTGGGCTATTTTTATCATAGACCAATGCCCTTGAGTTGTGGAAAGAACTCTAGAGAATGGCTTGCTGTTCACTTCTGCTGGTACTCCAGGAGCGTTACCAAGTATGTAAGTTACATATACTTGGGTATTTCGCTCCCTCTGCCTTAGACTCCCTATCCAGACTGGGTGTAGGGTTGTGGTTTTACTTAAGACTTCACTTTTCTTTTCTTTACCATGAATTTTCCTGTGGCTTCCCTGGGCTGATGAGTAGAGAATTTCCAGCTATTCTTTATGATGGGGGCAGCCACTTAAGAGACCAGTTTTATTCAGAGTTCTCACTTTCAACTCCCAGCCTCAGAACTGAAACCCTAACTGCCACCCGCTAGACCTACCTCCATGTCCAATGCCCCTCTTGGTTGTTCCGGTGTCCACTCATTCAGGTACTTCTCTAGATTTGAGTCCCTACTTCATTTCTAGCACTTGAGCATTTCTTTATCTTTCTTTAGAATTTGATAGCCTCTCTCTCACACACACACACTCCAGGAGTGTGTGTATGTCTTTTAAGTTTTAATATTTTACCCAGTATTTCTACATATTTTGAGTCAAAGGTGTCTATAATGAGGAAAGTGGCTAAGGAAGAAATTTATTTGAATATGATTATTTTAAACAAATTACTGAATAGGCATTGACTAACATTTTCTATATATTTAACTCTGTATTACTCCTAAGTACCAATTTGGGTTATAAAATATACTACACTACAGTGTACATTTTGTAGCCAGTTAAAGGATATGAAGATCAACGTGGCTGGAGCAGTGAGGGAAGATTTAATGGGTTGGAGTCCTTATGCCCTCCTGTAATGCCATCATCACCCTAAAGCATTTTTCTGTCTGGGTCCCTCTGCAGACCGAGTCCCCTCTGGGAAAAGACAGTGTTTGTTCAATATTGTTCTCCTGTCTTGCACAATGTCTGGCATGTAATGGGCACTTGATAAATATTTGTTAAGCACAAAAAAAGTGAATATAATAAAACAGAAACAAACTCACAGATAAAGAGATTACAGATAGTGGTTACCAGTGTGGAGAGGGAAACCAGGAGGGGCAAGATAGGAGTAGTGGATTAAGAGATACAAACTACTATGTATAAAATAAATAAGCTACAAGGATATATTATTGTACAGCACAGGATATATTGCCAATATTTTATAATAATTTTAAATGGAGTATAACCTATAAAAATATTGAATCACTATGTTGTACACCTGAAACTAATACTGTAAATCAACTATATTTCAATAAAATGTTTAATTTTTTATTTAAAAATATACACTATACTATGTTATCTAGGTAACTCTGAATTCTACTGACATCCATTATGAACTCTGAATTTATTCTTCCTAGCAGCATATCTACATTTGTATCTGAATCATATGTAGACAATTTTGAGTAGATTCAGAGGCTGTGTTGCCTACTTAATTCAATGGTAAATAGACTAGCATTATTTTGAGATAATATTTCAATACTGGTAAAAAGCTATTTACCAGTGCATTGAAGACACTAATTCTCCTAAAGTAAGTAAACATTAAATGATAATTCCTAATTGCCAGCTGAAGCTTTCTAGCTATCTTTTCTACTCCCATTCTTTTTCTTAATAAAGACCTGACCCTCTTGCAACCTTGGTATTTTCACTATTAGAAAGTCTTTTGTTCCAAAATAAGGATCAAGAACATTATTATTTCTTTGTCAGTAATGATATACCAGAAACACCCAGCTTACTGGTAAACAGAAACTATAGCTTTCACGGTAAAATACTACAGTTATACAGCACAACGATTTCTCAGGTTATCACTGAGGAACTCGATAACAGCACAGACTACAATTCCCTTTTGCACTAGAGCAGATACAGGAGGGCAGATAAACGACTTTCCTGACTTAAGTTACTATAGGAAATCAGAATTGTAAAAAAAAAAATAGCTTTTTAACTGATTTTAATTCAAACACCCGAATGTTTCAGTCTAATAGGAGACTTGATAAAGAAATAAAAACAAACAACAAAAAACCCCTCTTGTAAGGGGGAGGGCATAGCTCAAACTGTAGAGCACATGCCCAGCATGCAGGAGGTCCTGGGTTCAATCCCTGGTATCTCCTCCAAAAATAAGTAAACCTAATTACCTCCCCCTTCAAAAAAAAAAAAAATCAAAAAACCCAAAAGCCCAAAACTAAAAAAAGAGAGATTATCAAAAAAACCAAACAAACAAAAATAAACCCCTCATGGCCTCATTCCCCTTCCTTATTTACACACACACCTTGTGCCATCATTATAGGTAAATATGCAATCATTAAAAAAATTCTATTAATGCAGTAAGAAATAAATTAGATGCAGTAAGAAATAAGTTAGATGCTATATCATGAAAGTCTTAATTTGAATATGTCATGCTTGTAGTTAACAAATGTCACAATTTAGAATGTGTCATTTTGTGTAACTAAGGCCCAGTGTTCCGTCTTGCAGCACGGTGCTCCTTGTTAAATAGGTTGCTTTGGGAATTTCAAAATACGCATAATAGAAACAGGAGGCATTAAATCACCCATGCTGAAATATAATATTGACAGGAGAAACTTCAAATATTGCTGTTTTTTTGATCACTTGAATCAATTTGGTCAACACTAGAAGAATACTAAATCAAAAATGTTAAAAAGTTAACTTGTGTATAGTATGTTTTCATTTTAAGCCTTAACTCACACTAACACCTAGAGGAACAAACCTTGTACCTCTGGATAAATGGTCAGTAAAACAGTTGTATTCTTTCCATTCTTTTGTTTCTCTACAGATTTAGTGAGATGCACAGTAGCAGTCCCCAAACCACAAACAGAAGCTGTGCTTTACCACACTCAGCTGCAGCCTGTCCTCAATACCATGAAGTGTGGACAGAAAAATAAGTCTCATAGGATTTTTATTCCATGTCAGCAACATAATTACCTATTTGTATTTTAAGTAAGGTTTCTTTTTAAAGGTCCCTGTGTGTACAGACTCTGGAAGGTAAACAGAACTTTATAAATATGGTGAAAATAAAATATCTTATTCTTAAATGACAAATACAATTACTTCCATACAAATACACTTGGTTGCTTGTATTCCACAAGCAATTTGTAATGTGTTACAAGAAATGTCAACACTTGGCTGCCATTAATTAAGATCCAAAGATAGCACATTGTTTGATCCATTCATCCGTATAGGTGTGATTTCAAAACAATTCTTAGCACCTTAATTCATGGTCATGAAAAATGGTAAATTTTGTATAGCTAAGGGCTCTTCAATAAAGGAGTAAGAGTTTGCAAGTATGGAAATCAAACTACCATCTCATTAAGAAACCCTAAGGAACAAAGCCATGAAAAATGGAGAATATTTAGCTTATAGCACCCACTATATTCCTAAGTCAATCTTCTATATCCAACTTTTTTAAAGACTTATGTTTTATAAACATTATTCCTTTTAGATAAACATAATGTATAACACAAACCCAGCATTTTCAAGGTCTTATGAAGATGTTCCCATGAAACACTTGTAAACTGGTAAATCTGCCTGCAAAAATGTTTCTTATACATATATTTTAAATTCCATGGATGTTGGTTTAGTCACAGACACGAATTAGGAATAAATAGCTTATTTTTCATAAGTCACGTGACTCTGAAGAGTTTAAGGTGCCCTTTTGTGCACTCTAATAAAACTGAGTAGCAGTCCCCTGCTTTGAAAAGAATGACAGCTCCTTCATGGAAATGACTAAATTACCTTTTGCTCATGGGAAAGCAATACTGTGTGTGTCATTTGTTAACTGGACACAGTTATTATTCATTCTGGTTCCTGGGAGATCTGTTTTTCCAATGTTGAGAGAGACCTGGCATATCTGTATAGTATTGCATTTTGTTGTTGTTGTTGTTCAGGATTTTTCAGTTTTTAATATCTCCTTCAAAGAAATCCAAATAGCTAAACCTCAGACCCCCCCACCCCAAGTGTCTGTCAGTTGCTCAAATAGACTTACTCTGCATGCACAGCCCATCAGTGCAGTTCTTGGATTGCAAGACGAGGCCATCGCAGTCCTTGCCTCCGTTCTTGGGGGCTGGCGCTGTGCACTCCCTCCTGCGCCAGTGCGTGCACTCGGTCCCACAGGTAGACCACTTGCTCCATGAGGTCCACCTGCCATCCACTGCCACAAAAAAACCAGTATCAGACTAGGAGGTATCAAAAAGGAGAAGGAGCTTCTTGAGGGGAGAGGGGAGCAGAGATCAAGTATAAATGAAACACTAAACACTGAAGAAAGTGCCCCACCCAGGAGTGCTACGTTCATTTTAACTGCTGGAAATAACGCATGCTCTACATAAATCGTGTGGGCTCTGCGAACTTTCCTCAAGAGGTGTGTGACTATTGCCTCACTGACCAACTAAGGGAAGCTTAATGGGACACGCAGAAAGCAAAGTTGTCACAGGGAGCTATATAAAAGTAAACTGTGGTGGTGTCCCTTTTTCTTTATAAAGAGGAATCTTCTGGATTTTGGATTGAAAATTAGGGGACTTCTAAAAAGAAGATGCAAGATTCCTTCATGGATAATGTCATGTGGCTTGTGCAAGTAAACCTGTGTGGGGTTAAGAAGAGGTTGGTAGACTGGGGAAGAAATCTATCTAGCCATCCATTTAGTCACCCACTCATTTATTAATCTATCTATGTATCAATCATCTATGTCCTATATACTGTTTTTTTTAAACATTTTTTATTCAGTTATAGTCACTTTACAATGTTGTGTCAAATTCTAGTGTAGAGCACAATTTCAGTTATACATGGGCATACATATATTCATTTATACTGCTTTTATTTTGTATTTCCATCCTTGTTGCTTGATTCTGCAGAGCTTCTTGAAAAGACTATTATTTTCCATTTATTATTTGAGGACTCCATTACATTATTTGATGATATATGTACATTTCTATTTTTATTTTAAAAATAATATTTAAGCATATTCCTAATTTTTTGTTGTGATTCAGTCATTTAGAATAGACTTACTTTCTTCTTAATTTTGGTGCTTGGTTTGTTAGTAAAGTTTAAAAACAAAACAAATTCTAATGAGAAAATATATAGTGAATTTCACTAAGATCATACTTCAAAATGTATTCTTTGTGGGTGAGGGTATAGCTCAGTGGGTAGAGCACATGCTTAGCATGCACGAGGTCATGGGTTTGATTCCAAGTACCTCTGTTAAATAAAAAATAATAAATAAACCTCATTGTCTCCCCCCACAAAAAACAAAAAAAATTTTTAAATAAATTTAAAAAATAATGAAGTGCTTTCTTTAAAGGTTCTTATATAAATAAAAGGAAAATATTGGAATAGTTAAATTTTTAAAAATTTTTCTTGAAATACAGAATTATATAGAGTTCAGTGTAAGACAGTATCAAATATCATTTACTGAACATGCAATACACATAACATGTTATACCTGCATATTGATAGAAAGTTTATGAATTTCAACAGCCTATAAAGTTTGAGAAAGCTATGTGATTTCATATTCAAATTATTGTGTAAATATATTATGCATAATACGTACAGAGATATAAATATGCCCACATGAAAAAATGATGAAAGCATTAATATTTCAATTGTACTGAGGTGTCTATATAAGCAACTCCCAGCTATCTGGAGAAAAGACATTTGCTTTGACCTGTACCACTCCAAAGTACACACACATACACGTACACACACACACATATAAATACACATGTATTTCTATTTCAATTTAAAATTGCTCTGTGTATTTCAAATTATGAGAATCAGTATGTAGATAGAATATAAGAGAGTACAAGATAAAATTCTGAAATTCTTAGCCTAGCTAAGTGTCAAAATTTGTTCCATAAATAAAAGCTCTCAAAGGGTCCAGCGTGGGATACTGTTTTGACATTTGGAAATTAACATAGGAATAAAATATAATAATGTTTTTCTCTCCAGTTCATCTATCCAACCCATCTCTGACAAAGGTTCTACTGAAGGATAAACTGGACAAAAGTTAGGCAAAATAAAGAGAAGTAACGAGTTTGTATCTTAATAATGAAAGTGAGAATATAATAGCTACCCCAATGGGGTACACTAAATTTATGGGTTATTTCAAAATAACTTTAGCTTAACTTTTCAATATACTGTATACTAAGACATTTTAATGAGTTTTGGTTTTGGCAAATATTAACTTCAATTTCCCAATGGATGCGAGCTCGTGACAATACAGCACAGAAGATGCTCAGAGGTGGGGGATGCAATAGGTACCACTGCAAATAACTCACATACCAGGTGACCAACATGTACAGATAATAAAGAGCTGACTGCACTGTATTTTCAAAATCCATTAGTTCATGTGTCACAAAGCTTAGACTTTCTCTTAATTCATTCCAAATGTTTTATTTGCCCTTGCCCAGAAACTGACACCAAATATCAAGTATTTCAGCCTAAAATGTTCTCTAAATTTCAGTTCCAATGAATTTCTATGGCCTTCTGAAGATCAAGGGTTGTTATCCTAAATGTGTGGTTTTCAATGTTGCTCAAATGCCCTGAATTACAGAACCTGCAATCTTGGCTTCAATAATTTTGTTGAGTAATAGAGGATTGTATTCATGTGTGTTTAATCTCCTGTTTTATACTATTTGCATGTTTGGGTTATAAAATTATGTAATCTTCTGAGGGAAAAGACTTGATTTCCCAGCAATGTAAGCACTGAATGCTATGATAGATTTGAATAATGTTTATCACACATTTAGGTCAAGAATAAGGCTTTTTATGTAGACCCTAAAATTTATTTCCAGGATGGGTGGAGACATTTGGAGTGAGAGCAGTGGTTTATTTACCTGGGCACAACGTGGTGCAGGCTATTTTCTGCACACTCTGACCTTCACAGAAGGCACCACCATTGAGGGGGGCTGGGTTGGTGCAGGTCCTTGTGCGCTTCTGATACCCTCGTCCACAGCGGCTGTTACACACAGACCACTCTGTCCAGGTGGACCAGCCTCCGTTTACTGCAACGAGGCAAATAATAAAATGTGAATTAAACATATGTGCGTATGCACAGAGACACACAAACCACACGTAAAACAAACAAAAGAGTCATCTCCCAAGTGACCATAAAAAAATCTAAAACTTCAAAGCTAGAAGAGACCTTGGATATCATTCAATCAAAATTTTATTGCAGAGCTGAAGAATCTAGGCATAGAAATAAAATGAATTATCAACATTTATTCACGTACTCAGAAAAGAAAATAGGATTGTGTCTCTCTCTCCTTCGCCAATTTTTTTTAAAATCCCCTTACCTCAGAAACTACTTTTGACATCTTATCTCAAATAATACATGTTTACATTTTTATGTCAAGGCTGCAAGTGGCTCTGAAGCATGGGAACTTATAAAATCATTTAGCCTTTTCTTACTAACAGATAATTGTTTTTCTTTAGTATATAAAAACTTTATAGTCTTCTAAGGATTTTTAGTTAGTTTCATTAATAAGTAAATCTGGTTTTTAAACAGTCTTATATAGCTGGATTCACAACTGAGTATTTCTGTGAATTAGCGATTAGTTGATGGAATTGAAATGGACACGTATTTTGTGTATAAAGACTAATTACGGTGTTTGATGGGGCCATCAGCATAGGTGAGATTAAAAAACCTACACTCTAACACTATACTTATGATTTACCTCTGGAGGTAATCACTCTAGAAAATATAAAAAGTATATACTCTGATATACTTTAGTACTTCACTATGTGCATCCATGAAATTATTGACATTAAGCAACTTGTAACAAAAAATTCTTTGCTGGTGGTTAGCACACGGCACAACTAGTATATGCATCCGCTTCCTGAGAGTAGAGTGTCACTCAGGTAACACAAACCTTATATGTGGACATTACATGCCCATCATCTCCTTCTCTGGGAACTTATACAACAGGGAATAATCATGAGTGCATTATATATACTGACACAGACAGGGTATTTTTCACAGCAGAGTTATTGTTTATATAAAGATAAATAATTGAAAACAATTGCGATGTTTAACCATAGGAAAATGGTGAACATGTATGTTCATGTGATTGACTCCTAGGCAGCAATGAAAAATGATGTTGTAGAAATCTATGAAAAATCACGCATGAATACTTCAACATTATGTTTTAAGTAAAAAAAAAATATTTCTATTCCTTATTTCAAAATTCTATCTATGCTTAGAAAATACCAGTATTAAACATATTAATCTTTTTAAAAAGCTATCTCTGGATGACAAAATGACAGAATTCTAGGCATTTTCCCTTTGATCTTTTTTCTGTGTTTCCCAAATTTACTATAATGGATATATATCTGCATTCTAAAAATGATGCTAACAAAATGAAATATATGCAACAGACTCAAACATGAAATACTGGTTAGATGTTTATGTTTTCCTGTAGAATTCTAGTGAGCCCAACGTATGAGCCCTAGACAACTTATTTTATGAGGCCATGAAAAGGACAAGCAGATGTTTGATAGGTAGAGTTTCATTTACTGTTCCAAGAAGCAATTTATCCTGCTCAATTTCACAAAACCCCAAGTGTTGTGGAACTGTCAGTATAAACTGCTTACTAATACACTGGCAAGTCAGTATCTGGAGTTAGAGTACACATGTACTGCTCTGCTAGGATTTTAATGAGAAATGAATAATCAAACTTTTAGAGAAAAATTCGTCTTGAAGATCTTAGGCTTAGTCCCTCCATTTTTGGAGAAGGAGGTAAGGGACCAAGTGAAGGTCAGTTATTGATAGAAACAGTCCTAGAACACAAGACTCCTGAGCCCTAGTCCCATGCTGTTTTCTAAACTCAAAATGCTTAAGTTACTTGTGTCTGATCCTTTCTGAAGAATGTTTACAGATATTAAAAGCATGCTATACATAGGAAGAGATTCGCTTGTATATTAAACACCTATGTAATATATCTATTTAGAGTCTGCCTTCATTAGTCGTTTATGATTGGTATAAGCTGAGGTGTATCCCATTTCTCTTGCATTTCCAATGCTGTTAATTAAGTTGTTCAGACAGTTTGGATAAAGACAAGAACTAAGAAACATCTCATTGTGATTTAAGAAAGGCAACTGCTTACAACTCAACATAGCCATTATCTGGGCTAGGAAATAAAACTTTAAAGTATTTAAAAAAATAGTATGCATCTGTCCTGTAATGAAAAGGACAGTTTTAAAGCATCATTACATTCAGCCTTTCGAACATCACAGCGGATTCTATTCTCTTAAGACCCTAAAGCATAAGGACACAGTGCTATCTGAAGTAAGTACCAGAAGCCACATACTTGCCAGCGGCCGTCCTTCCTTCATCGTCACTTAGGCAAGTCCCTCAGAGTGCCACTTAACACTGGAGCAGCCGTGAAGAGCTTCCCTACGTCTAAGCGGTAGCCATGCCATTCCCAAGGTAGCAGGACCAACACTTACCAGGGTTGTTGTTTCCTCTGAGACAATGATTCGTCAAGAACATGAAGACCTACTATGTATCTCACACTGTGAAACATACACGTAAGTTCATAGAGCTGTCTCTTAGTCTACAAAGGAGCTTAAAATCTTAGGTGGGGAAATGGAACTAACTTGTGAAACTAGGAGAAAACCACCGAGTGCTAAAGCCTGCAGGGAGATAAAAGGATCATATGTCACAGCAAAACGGCTGCGGGAGCACTTAGTGCTTCTGGAGAAATGACAGGTTTAGAGATGAGATGGATTAGAAAGGGCCAGAGAGTGGAAAGGAAGCTTCCTAAAAGAGTCAGTGTATTGAACCTCGTTACATGGTTAGCAATAGGGCCAGCTGGCGATGGCAGCCACTGTCTTCACTCGGGATGCCCCTGATGGAGTTAAAAGCAAGTACCAGGCTGTTCAAGTTGGTCTGATGTGTTCGAAGTTAGTGTCAGCTCCAGTCTACCTGAGGTTTTGCAATCACTCTCTTGAGGCCACAGAATGAGCAGCAAGCTGCTTTAGGCATCTTCATCTCAGAACTCCCTCTAGATCTCAGTGGTCCAGGCTATGGAGGAACGGGGCTTAAGTACCAGGAGACGCGACTGCTTCCCTAGATAGATTTCCTTCACTTTCCCATAAACTGACTGACAAAGGGCTGGGAATCTCCAAGTCTAGTTTTTCACGTGTATCAGGAAAGCAGTTAAACCTCAGTGTCCACATGAGAAGCTGGAAGAGAGCAGCAATGGGGAATGAAAAGGGGCCTCTTCCCTTGATATTTCAAAATCAAAACGAGAAACTGCAGTTTGATCTGAACTAGATTGAAACCTCAAAAATCCACGCACCATAGACTATGACAGTTGCAGTTGTGCTCTTCCTTTTGGCAACAATGTTTTTGGCAACACAAGTATAGTTTGCAGTATCTGAGAGGCGGGCCTGCTTGATGATGAGGTTGTGATCAATAGTAATATAAAAATTCCGATCTTCAACAGGATCGATGATGTCTTCATTTTTCAACCATTCCACCTAAAGATGCACAAGAGAAACAGATAAATCCCCAGAGTGGATCCCTCCACGGCTGTCTGTCCTAACTTGTGTTTTTCAATGTGAATAGCATTGTTCCAGGCTATGAACTTCTGCAAATGGGAAGAAGTAACTTTCTGAGGTCACATCACGTGAAGTATCACTCACCTGCCAAACATGCTGATTCTGTCTGTAGTACATTATTCTCAAATGTCAATGACCCAGTTGGGAAATACAGTGTTCAAACTGTTTTCACTTTGCCCTGCAGGCAGGAATCGGGGATGTGCACTGCCAAGTTCAGAACTCAATCAAAAATAATAGGCTAAGCATTTCAAACTGGACTCAAATCTTTTCCTATTTGATTTGTTTACTCTTGGCAACTTACCTGCTGCTTTTCAGAAAAGAATTAAGGACTATTTAAAAAGCTCAAAAGGCGTGTTAGACATCATGCAGCTCTAATAAAACAACATTTGGATGATCTATGTGTAGCCTTGCTGTAACAAATGGACTAAATTTCCCTGAAAATACACCTACTTTAAAATGTAGCAAACACATACTTACAGATGTATCTAAGACAACATACTTGGGGAGGGGGAAGGTTTTCTATCAGTTCTCAGCGTAACCTAGCATATAAATCATACTCAAAGCTCCTCCTTGCCTGTCACTAGCATCACGACATGGCTCATGGTTTGCTTCTGGAGAACCTCAAGACACGACTGTTCAAAATCACTGAGCCACTTTTCTATGCAAGTATCAGTTTAGCAACAGCAATGCTATCCTTACAGAATGAAAGGAGGGAAGTGTATCTGCATAAGATGTCCTAAAGAAGGATCAACTATTTCTTGTCCTATAAAACTTGCTTTTTTCTACGACAGGTCTCTCCATAAAGCAAAACAACATTGATATTTACCACACTTAAACTTTCCTTTTGCATTCCTGTGGATACAGATAGAAGTAACCTTTAGTGGTAGGGAGTCAATAGTGTTGCCATTTTCAAAATCTTAAGGAGCTTCCCCAGCACCACAAGAGGTCTGGAAATTAATCTCTAAATCTGTCAGTGGACTAGATGTTGCACAGCTCCAAATTACATCTAATGCTTCCCTAATCCTTAGCAGAGAGGCAAGTTAAAGGGAGAAACAAAAAACAACTATCTTGAAATAAACATACTGAGGATGTAGATAAGAGCAGCTATTTGTAATGATGTAAATTTTGAAACAGCTAAATATTGTTGATATTTACACTAATGGAAGTGAGAAAGAGGGCAATTCATCTATAACAGTGAAGTTTTAAAACACGCATTTCATTTTAAATAAAGACAGCATATTCGGTCATGTGCTTGGGTATATTTGATCAAAGACTCACTCTCATTTAAGCTGGATTTTCTGAAAATTTGGTCTTACATGTGTGCTAATACAATCTTGCTAGAACTGCAAGGGAAAAGGTAACAAAATTCAGCTTGTAAGAAAACTGCTTAGTGATAACTGAAAGCTGAATTAGTATCTTCTGAATCTAGTCTTTACCACAGGCTTTCCTGGTAATTCTAAAGAAAGCTTTCCACTTCTAGAAGGTACTGTTGGGCTCCCTTGATTTAGATCCCTGCTTGCTCCACCCACTTACAGGGCTCTCCTAGGCGTGCTTCCATAACAAACCATTTGTATCCAAATCTTTGCCTCAGGTCTGCTTCCTCAGAACCCGATCTAAGTCAGGATTGTTCAAAACTATGGTTTCTTCTATGTACATAATACCAGTTAAGAATAGTAATGTTATCCTGATCATAAATGACATAAAGTGATCCCAAGGGATACTGCAAACCACTTGTTTATTTGGAAAGTTTATTACATGGAAGAAAGAAAGCAATCTGCACTGTTGACAAGGATTTTAGAAGACTTACATGATTACTGAGTATATGATCTTCACTATCTTTTACATGACTCTGCATTTTCCTCAGGTGTCTCCCACCAACCCTGGAGCAGTGATTATGACCTGAGCTTCAAGGACCCCTGAGGAGCCTTAAGTGCTGTGGCAGCACCCCTGGACTCTGTGAGGGACACTGCCTTCCTCCCCGAACTCTGGCTTTAACCAAAGCTCTGCTTTGATGTTTTCTACATTAGGCTTGCCTGTATGCCTTTGTTTGAAACAACAGGGTCTACAGCTAGAAAATAGCTGCAGGAATGAAAAAAGGAGCAAAAGGACTCTGGTTTCTGGCAAGATGCCCCCTCCCAGTTCTCTATACCCTGTAAGTCCCAATCTTGTCTCAGCATCCTGCTTTGAGACCTTATCTCCATAAGAAGCTCCCATCCAGACTGCCGGTCATCACTCACCTCCTGCCCTGGAATCATTCTGCTCTGCATGTCCCCATCACCCACTCTTCAAAACTTTTAAAATCCTCCCACACTCCCTTGGAATACAGCAGCAGCCGCCTCCAAAATTTCAGCTTCTTTTTACATTGTTTTCTTCATTCTTCACTAACTAATCCTAGCTCTTTGTGATGCTGCTGTTTCTTCTGGGGTCCTCTCACATGGTGGGTGTTTGACTTCCCAGACCCAACACACCACCAGGCCTGGGGCCAGGAAGTGTCTTCCCTGATCTGCACTCTCTATTCCAGACCATGCTCTCCAAACACCTTTGCTTTCAATCTCATGCTATCAGATGTCACTCAATTTCTTCACTATATATATATATATATATATATATGTCATCTATAAACCTCTGGACTCAGTCATTTTATCCAGTATAATTTTTGTCATAATTTCTGATGATTTTAATAATCACAAAGATGACACTTTCAACATCTTGGCTTCTCAATTATGACTCCCTTTCTGCAATAATCTTGATTTTCAAGTCACTCACACTCAGAGCCACACATTCTAGGCCAGAGGCTTTCAATCCTGGCTTCACTGTAGTATAACTTGGAGATCATTTATAATATAATCAACTCTAAATCCACTCTAGAGAAACTGAATCCAACCCAGAAAAACTGATTCACTGGTCAAGATTTGTCTACCATCGGTGTGTGTGTGTGTGTGTGTGTGTGTGTGTGTGTGTGTGTGTGTTTTTAAACTCCATATGGGGCTGTGATTTACTGCTAGGTTGAGAAATATCACTCTAGGCCATTGCCTATCAAATGAGATCCCTGGGCCAACAGCATCATAGCAACACAGAGTCTCAGGCTCTGCCCACCAAGACTTCCTGAATCAAAATGTGCATGATAACAAGAACCTCAGGGGATTTCCACGCACATTAAAGTTTGAGAATCGTTAGTTTAGCTTTTGTCCTTACCATTAATTATTAACTGTAACTCCTCCAAAACTCAATTTCAATGATCTATTTTTTTTTACTATTTTGTGTTTCCTGCTTATTCTCTCCAGGGCTATCTCTTGACATACCTTCATCAGGGCCTACAATCTATTGAACTTACCAACTTTATCTGACACCCTTCTCATGATCCCTCTTTCCTCTTTACTAAGTATAAACGCCATGTCTGCCTTCAGCAACAATCCCTTGCATTACACCCTCAACTCTGTCATCTCTCCCTTGCTCCAACGTGCTCAGTTGGCCACTCTTCCCCCTACACCACCTTTGTATCCTTGCAATGGAGCATGGCTGTGTGAAGCCATATTGAGTGGGCTCATCTTCAACTCATAACGCAACTCAAATGAGCCCTAAATTCTGCCCTCAAAATTGCCCTGTATTTTCATCACCTGTTCACTGTTTCATACTCCTAAACAGCCAGTTCACACCTTCCCTCCGCTTAAACACTACCTCTCCCTCAGTCCTCTCAGCGGATGGCCAAGACTTCAACGTCACTGAGAAAACCGACAATCAGGAGACCTCTTCCAAAGCTCCCCCATCCACCTACCGTCCCTATTCTGCACCCTCTCCCTTGTTACTGGGTCAGCCCTCCGCTCCTGTCACCTTTCAGTTGTACCCTGCATCCCCTATTCCTGCTCTCCTATTCAAGAGCAAACCCCAGCAATTCTCTTCTCGCTTAAATCATTAATATTCCCTCTACACAGAATCATTTTCACCCACATACAGACATGTGGTTATTTTTCACAACTGAAAAGAAAATCCCTCCTCACTCATTTTTGCTTCTAGTCCCTCCTACATTTCTCTGCTTACCTTAAAAAACACCTTAGATACTTGTTTGTATTCACTCTCTCCAGCTGCCATCCTCACATCTACTGAATCGATTCTAATTCGTGTTGACCTCCACCATTACAACTGCTCTTTTCAAAGGTACTGACTACTTTCACCTTGATAGATGGACTGGTGAGGTTTTAGTACTTACTGGACCGAGCAGCAGCATTTGACCATGTTGGCTCCCCACTCCTCCTCACTTGCTTTCTCTGGACAGGGCACTTTTCTGCTTTTTGTCCTATCTTCCCCCATCTGTCACAGCTTCCTCGGGCTAAGGTCTGTTCTCCCTGTGGCAGCTCTGTCCTTGGACCTCTGCTTTTTCCTACTTTCTATCCATATTCACATCCTTGGTGAGCTCATCCAGTCTCATGCAGATAATTCCTAAATTTATCTCCAGTCCAGACCCATTCCTGAACTCCAGATTCATATATCCAACTGCCTTCTTGCGATTCCACTGGGTTGTCAAATAACAATCCCCTGAACTGTCCTTCAAACATGCCCCTCCCACACCTTACAGTCTCAGTTAAGGCCAAATCCATCCTTCCAGTAACTTAGACAGAAACCTCAGACTTAGTCTTGACTCCCCTCCTCTCTGTCCATTTGATGTCAGAGCAGCCTATCAGAATCCAGCCACTTCTTGTCCTCTCAGTACCACTCCCTTCCCTGAGTAAGTCACCATCACTTCTCTCCTGAATTATTGCAACAACTTCCTGTCTTATCTTTGCTTTTCCTATTGACCCTAACATCTATTCTCCACACAGTAGAATGATCCTTAAACCCTGAGTCAGATCATGCTACATCTCGAATCCAATCCTCCAATATTGCTCAGGGTCAGAGCCAAAGTCCTTACAAGGACCCAAAAG